GGGGGGAGTTATGAAATGGCTGCTTATAAAAGAATTGAACATCTTAAGATGGCGATATTTTTTAAAAAGTATTGTTAGCCATGAGGCATTCTGATTCTCACAAAATTCGTTTAGTCAGAGGCTGAAATACCACGATATTAACTCCCACAAACACAAGGTGGGCTAAACTCGTACGTTTACATTGTGGCTATTTAATTTCGTTTTTCACTGCTTTAATTCTGTGGTAAGTTCAAACTAGGAACCAGTAAACACTGCTAGCATGCTATAAGGATGGGGTTTAAACGCCCAACGGTCAGATTCACGCGCTAAACACATTATAGCTATATCTAGTCCATTGAATATGTAGGGAAATTATGGATTCTAGTCAACAGGTATGTTTTGAATTTGATTTCTAAAAATTATTTTTAAATGACAGATAGACGAGAGGTGGGTGGTGGTAGATTTGATATTATATCGGAGACGGACACCTGACGTCTCCTTAATGGTCTCCGGTGCTGTTCTGTTCCCCTTCAAATGATAATAATGATATGCAGTGTTTTCTTATTCATTTCCTTACGTAACTTTCTTATGTATTAAACTTCCTCGTGATCCGGACCTTTTGTGCAACTTGATGTTATCTGAGGTTGTTAGTTTTTAGTTTTAGTAAAAGTTTTACAGCACTTGCAAGATTAGAGGTGTTACAAGAGAGTAACAAACACAAAAACGGAGGATGAGAGAGAGAAGGACGATAAATGAAAGAAGGAGCAATCCACACCAGAGCCCCCGCCAACTACCCACTAAGGTTCTTAGGAGTATCTTTCTCATTCTGGGGGTCTTTTGTTTGTTCAAGTAAAGAGCAGCACATCGACGCAACAAATGTGTCATATACATTGTGCAGAGAAGAAACAAGAGAGACAGAAACAGCAGAGGGAAAGTAAGCTGTCCCCGTCGTTTTATGCAAGAACAATTATGAAATTATGCAAACTGAGCCACAAAAAGTGAAATTATGCGAACTCTGTTTATTTTAACAAAGAATGATAAAGGAAAATAATCAGAAATTAAGCAAAAAATGATCAAATTTTGCTAAATTATGCGGGGTGCATAAAACCACGGGGACAGAGTAAGGAAAGAAGTGGGATCTGACTGACCTACCAGTGCCGCCCTCCAACCACCTACTTCTTTAGTTTTAGTAAGAGTAAGAGTTTTACGGCACTTGCAATACAGTAAGGTCAAATAAGTGCCGAAGAATAGATGTGTTACAAGAGAGTAACATGCACAAAAAAGAAGGAGGAGAGATAAGGACGCTAGATGTTTAATATTAATAGGATAGGAAAGAAGGAGCAAACCACACCAGAGCACCCGCCAACCTCCAACCACCAACTACTTCTAGGTCTCTGCGACAAGAAAAGGCTGGTAGACAGTAAAAGTAAAGGGTTTTTGTTGTTGACAACACAGTCTAGTATAATTGGGCGCTTTTAAGCACAAGAGGGCTATCCCGAAAAATGCTATGTTGAGAAAATCGAAGGTAACGTTTTTGCCCCTTGTTCAGTTTCTTAAAAAATCAAGGAACGTTTTCTTTATAACCAAACAAATATGCACACCATTGAAACCAAACTTCTCCTATAGGTGGGGCAAAGCCCACTTTTGGTGTAGGTCACGATTTCTGGAAACCCCCGAAATCTGGGTTAGCTCGCTTTTCCTTAAAAACGACCTTTCAAGAAGCAGGCTGCTTTGGCCCATCGTATCCTTCAGGGCCATACTTTGGTGTGTGGAAACTGCACTCCAGCGGAGATGATGAAATACATTTCCTAAAGTAGGACTCACCCCCCCCCCCCCCCGGGGGGCAGTGCCACTGACTGTAGAGTCTTTAGGCTATTCCCAAAGAGAGGACATTTCTCGTTCAAGCATAGTAGAATTGTAAATGGGCTGACTCATGTCACGCTCATAACTGTGCCTGATCTACTACAGGGAACTGCTGCTTTTTCTTTCCTGATCCTTACTATTGTCATTTTCCTCTACTTCTTTTGTATGTTTGTCACTCTCTTGAGACCTGCTATTTCCGGTGTGCCTTGATAGTCGAAGTAGACCTTGTGCTGTTGAAGCTATAGAGGTGAGCAGTCTAAGTCTGATTCCCTGTAAAGATTTCTCTGTTGACACCCACCCCTTGGCGCTCATATGACCTTATGCAGTTGCGAGGGCCGTAAAACCCTCTCCTATAAAACAAATTAATAAAGTAGGACTCGGAACTCACGTCTTGTGAGTGCAAGATGAAAATCTTTGCCACAAATGCCACCGATGCTAGTTGACTCACTGAGGTCGTAAAGCGCAAAAAACATGCTGTACAGAGTGGGTAATGGCTTCATGAATGTGGCAGTAATTATTATAAGTATTATTATATATTATTATATTACTATTATTATTGTTATTATGCTCCTATTGTTACTATTTTGATGACGTTTAACGACCAACCAGATAAACCGTTGGTCGTTTCCAAAGAGGAGTCCTTGGTTCCCTGCTACAGACAAATTATACCAGGAAAGAAATAATAATAATGATAATAGTAATATTTTTTAAAGAAAACATTATAATTTCATTTTTATAGCTTGTTGTATAGGCGCTCAACAATGCTCAACCATTATTATTACCCCAGGAAACTTGAACACTCAGAAACATTCACAGCTTCCTGGGAAGCATACAGGGTAAGCTGCCGATTAAGCACTCAAATATGAGCACAAACACACAAATTTTTCACTGCCTATAGCCGGGTACCCATTCCCACATCACATGTTTGAAGTGAAGAAAATTCATCAAAGTGCCTTTCCCAAACAAAATATGTTGGGCCCCTGATGAGATTCAAACCCATGACCTTGATGACTTGATGATTGAGTTTCATACAAAAAAAAACAACCCCAAAACAAAACAACAATAAAACCAACCACCCAAAAAACAACCCCACCTGAAAAAAAAAAGACCAGACCTCCCCCCCCCCCCCGAACAAACAAAAATAAACCCCAAAAAACACAACAAAAATACCTTCTTTGCTCTTTTCACTTAATTGTTTATTCATTATGTTCTACATGCTCAGTACTCAATTATTACAGAAGTGTAAAGCGCTAAAAGACATCCAACTGAGAAACAATACACGTGATGTACAAAAAAAATAAATGTAGAAGCATATTATATGCAAAGGGAAATATGCATAAACTTAAAATATCCACCTCACATGGACACAATGCTGTCACAATATCTTGACCCGAATCTATGTAAGCATAAGAGAAAACAGAATTTGGAAAAAAAAAAAAAAAAAGAAAAATAAATGCATCATTATTATGGTCCTCATTCAGCTCTGAAGGCAGGGGGGGGGGGGAGGTAGAGGGCGGGGCGGGGGGATATTTGACAGTGATAGTATATCAGTACCGTACTTTAAATTTACAAACTCACCCAAAAAAAATGTCGCTGGAAAAAGTTATTTATGACTCACATTTGTTGACTTAGAAAGCTGTTATTTTTAAAAAAAGAAAGAAATTTTTTGTATAATAATAATAATAATAATAACAATAAGGCATCATGAGCAACTTGCAAAACCCTATTTAAAATCTGATCTGCGAACATTTGAAACAGCTTCAATTTCCTATTTTAAATTTTTTTTAAAAATCCAGTCAAAAATTAAAACTTGCAATGGCTATTATTGAATAACCTGCAATGCATGGTCAGAATTCAATTAATTATTTTCTTTTTAAACCCTGGGCCCAAGACAAACTGCCCATTCTCATTAATACAGATCAACATCGATGAGGCCAGGCTAAACCTTACAACTCAAAATAAATACTGATTTTTACACCCCCAGTAAAATGACTGATGGTTTAGGAGACGGGCTACTTCGTAGTTTGACCCATCCTGTCAGGGCTGACCCGGTCAAAGTGGGATACAACACCCCAGTAGAAAGTATGAAATAGACTTCCCCACACAAGAATCAAACTCCCAGTTTTTTTGGGTTTTTTTTGCAGCGCAATGCATTATCGATTCTACACTACAGGCGCAGGTCTTTTGGGGAAAAGCAAAACCCAAAAAAGTATGGATGGGGAAAGGTGAGGGGAGCAGGGGATGGCTGCGAATGGCAATGTATAGTAGCCAAGCCCTCCAACAGTGCGGAGAGAAAGCCAGAGCCAAGTTATGAGGACAGAAGAATGACGAGGTGCTAAGGTCTTCCAGAGACAGCTTCAGAGAGAAAGCCAGAGCTAAGTTGTAAGAACAAGAGAATGATGAAGTGCTAAGGTCTTACAGAGACAGCTTCAGAACACCAATGGTGGTTGGGCGGGCAGGAGGAGAGTGAGTGTCTCCCTGTGTGCACCGGAGTCTGTTCTGACTGGCATCTACGCAGCACGATGGGGCGGGCCCAAGAGTCGTGTCTTCTTTTGTTTTGCCTTTCCTTTACACACTCTCTCTCTCTCTTTCACTCACACACACACGTACACTCTCTCCCTCTCTCTCTCTCAATATCTCTATAATCAGATTTTTAGCAAACACTTAGCAGTTCCCTTAGACAGCAATGTTTCGTGTTTCATTTTGTGTCACTTTCTAAAATTAAATGTAGTCAATCTACAGCCATCCCCCCCAACCAACCTACCCTGCTGGTTACTTCCAGAGTGGAGCCATCCATCCCTTGCCTCTACTCTATAAGAATACTTGACAATTTTCAGAAATCCAATCAGGAACATTATTTTTTTTTTTTACCCAAAAAATTCTGGCCACCAATTCATGAAGACATACAATCTCTTGTTTCCTCTTGCTAACCGGATCCCGCTCATAACTACTAAGGCCACAAGCCAGCAGCCCAAAAAGTAACAGAAGCAACTTAAAATATAGCTACAGCAGACATGATTGTCCCAAAATCAGCAACCATGGACATTTGATCACAGAAAAATAAGAGAAACCATTACAAGCGACAAAAGTAGAATGATGGACACAAATTATAATACAATAAAACATTATTATAAGCATCATTGTGTAAGTCACATCAAGACATTTACAAAGGCCAAAAATGTTTGCCCAAAGTATAAATTGCTGAGGCGCGCTGATTACAAGTTGGCTATTCAATTGCACACGAGGCTATGAAATGTCTTAAAACAAATTTCAGACATGTATAATAATTGATGTACAAAGTAGATTGAATATGAATCAATGCTTTTCAAAGGCTGGGAAGAGGCGAAGTTGGAGAGAAAGAGTGGAAAAAAAACCCAAACAACCAGCAGCACAGATAGACAAATGCAACACATCCCCTCTCTCCCTCACTTTCTCATCCCAAAGAGGCCAATCGAAAATATGGCTATGTACAGATTTCAAGAAAACTAACAAAATAATTTAATCAGAAATGATACAAGTCATACAAAAGGGTTCTTCTCTTAGTCATGTAAGCCTTAGCAAATTATTCATGAGCGCGAAATAGAAGTGAAATCTTTTTGTTTGAAAAAGACATCCACAGCAGAACATCATGTTGATGATGATTGGATAAATATCAGATGAAAAAAATTAGCATCCCTCCGCACAGTCCTCTTTCTCTCACTCATTTGTTCTTAAAAAAAAAAGAAAAAAAGAAAGGAACACCCCCCCCCAAAAAAAAACCAACCCAGAATCTGTTCACATCCCCAAACAAACGCACATAAAATAGATATATACCAATCAAAAGCAACCGCTGAAGAGAAGGTAAAATCAATTGCTCATACATGCTCCAAGGATATCCACAGACTATGAAAAAATAATAATCTTATTCTGTACAAGACTACATAGCTCCAAGTGTTGGGACAAGCTTTTCTTGAAGTAAACATCAATTCATTTACGTCTTTAAATAGGTGTCGAAAAATGCTTTATTCCTATAGCGATTCCTACGCTGGTAAATACAACATGTAGTATTTATACGTATGATCTTCCAGAAAGGGAAGACCAAGTTTCTTTTTGTTGCGGCAAGAAGTGTGTGTCTGCCAATGGGAGGTCTAAAAGAAGCCAAAAGCCAAAGTACAAATGCAACAAAAGCTAGAGAGGCATTTATCAAACAACTGACAACTTGACAGCACCACAAGAGCTCGTGATTAAAAGCATCAATAAGAAATCGAGCATGAGCCATTGATACTTATTTTCAGACCAGGTTAAAAAAAAAAATAACCAAAGAAAAACCGAGATTCAGCACTTTCGCTCAACTCATTGACATATCTTCACACCAAGTCAAGCATTATATTAATATTATATACACATGGTGTCAACGATATTCTGCCACAAGGGAACGACAGAGTCAACATCCAATATAAAAAATTCTATGACAGAAGAGCATAAGGCAAATCCAGCCAGAGCTCCTCTGGACTGTCATTAAGAGGAAAGGATTTAGAAAAACACTCAAACCAATGTGTTTCTTTGGGTCCATCTGAATCGAAATTGTGTTTGATGAATGAGATCTTCAACACATTTACAAAACTAAGAAATTTGACTTTTATAAACGGGACAGACATTTATAATGAATATGATTCATAACTTTTGCCATCAATATTCCACAGACCCCTTCAGTAAAGTCAGTAACAAAAAACAAACACAAAAACCCACCAAAACAAAAAGGATGAGAGTGACTTTTTGAACTACAGAGTCAGGTCAATGTTAAAATAAATTGTATTATCTAGTAATGACATTTTTAGAAAAGCATAATACGTGCATCATTACAATGTGGAAACTCTCACCATTAAGACAAAACAAATTGAGAAACTACGTAGCAATTTAGCGAAAAAATAAAGAGAAAAATTACTTTGTGTATACTATAAGAGAATAGACACAAAGAATGTATTAAGGCCTAAGAGTTATAGTTCTTCGACATGTAACAGTATTACAGAAAATTATTCCCGATTTAGAAAAATACCAACATACTAAAAGTTAGTCCAGAGAGAAACAAAAGTAGGATTTTTCAGGTACACACTTCAAGTTCTATCTTACATTTGTCTTTATGTTCAATGTATCTTTCGTTGTTTACATTGTTCCGACTAGTTTTCAGAGTAGGCAACTGTGCATACGCTGAGACAGTTGAGTGAACCTCCATCAGATTTGATCCAGCACGTAGCACGTATCATGACGGAAGACAATAAATAAATCTTGTGCCACCTTGAGCCGTATAGTTTAGCATACTACAGGCTTGAAAACTTTGTTTCAGTATATCAGGGACAACCAATGTCTGTTGCAGGGGTTCGTGAAGTCAGGTAGACATAATGTATCTCATTAACTACTGGGTAAACTGTTGTCGTGTATGTTTTGTTTTAGTGTTAGTAGAGGTTTTACGGCCCTCACAACTGCATAAGTGTTGTCAACTGCATAAGTGTTGTGTATGGGAAGAGGTTATGCGCACACTGAAGCAAGTAAAAACACTAACTTTTTCATCTTTAAAACAGAAAGCAGAACCTCATAATTCTGCCTGTAACTATGTATATCTATTCCTGGTTTCCCATCAAATTAAAAGCTCAGTTGCAAAAGCCGGCAACTAGCTACTGTCATCTAAAAGCATTTGTTTGGGCAGTTTCTTATGACTATCTTGAAAACATATCCATTAACCTTATGTTCAAATTGGCATCAGCTTTTAGATTGTGTTTAATTAACGATGTCAACTTCAATTTACTACTGTAAAACACAGTGAACTTTTGTCAGTAGTATAATCACAAGGCAGTTATTGCTTCAAGTGGAGAGTTACATCCTCATGCAAAGTACAGTCTGTTCATATCAACAACGCCAACGCAAATAGAGACTGATGTAATTATTTTTAAAATCACATCAGAAAATGAGCAGTCTGTACAACAAGATGATTTTATTCCATCCTCGGTAACAATTTTAAAAAAAAGAGACCACCTCTAACTCTGCTTAAATTTCAGCTCAGTTCAACGCTCTTACTCATAAATACTTACTAATAAACCATGCCATGCACATTTCAATCAGACACAAACCATAAAAACAATAAACGGAAGTGTTAAAAAAGGAAAAACAAACAAACAAACAAAAATAGGCAATTATTTGGTGAGTGACATCTTGTTCCTGAACCCACAAAGAAATCAAAATCATGGGTGTCAAAAATTTATTGTTTAAAAAAAATGAAGAAAACAAAAACCCCTTTGTCCACCACAGCTGGTTGTTTGATTTTTACCATTTGGTCACAACTCAGTGGCTTGCAGATTGTCCAAGTCTATCTCTACACAGGAGGAAGACAAAAGAAACAAAAGGGTTATTTCAATAAGTGATCAGTACACTTACATTCAGACTGGTGATGGTCAATAGGACACAATAGCAAACGATAATAAAATGGTACGCACAATATGCAAATACATCAGTGCTTGAGCGGTCTACCACTAACGGGTCTAGGGTATCGTGGTGGTAGAAGGAGCAGATGGGGACAGGCAATGACAGGAGACAATGGCAAGTAAGATCGTTGATTTGTTTGTTTGTTTGAATAGAGAGAAGCACATTGACAAAATATGTGCTAGGAAAAATAAGACAGACAGAACCAACAGAGGGAAAAAAAAAGAAGTAAGACCTACCTAAAAACTTTTCTTCAACCAAAAAACCCCCACCAATTAGATCTAAAGCAAATGTTAATAAATAAAAAAAATTAAATTTTAAAAGTCATTTCAGACAGTCCAGGCATGGACTGGATACCTATACCAACCATCTGTCTAGCTACACAGCTTCAGAAAAAGAATGCAGAAAAGGAGCAAAATCTCTTTGTCTTTAAGCTTGACCAAAAGTCCTCTCAATTAATGTTAACTTTACATTTGTTTTTATAGTTTGTAAGAGTTGAAATTCCAGGCTGCTTACAGAAGATGTTAAAAAAAATGTTATTACCTTCCTACACTCAAGATTTTTTTTAGAGAAGACAAAAAATGAATAAAAGAAAAAAACAAATACAAATTTAAAAAGTCATCCTTCCGTACCATTCATGCTTCGAAAGTTAAAAAAGAAAGCGTGATAAGACATACTAGAAATTCTGCTTTGTATTAACTTTTCTGCAAGGCGGTGTAGTATCATCAAGGAAAGGGCAATGTACCGCTAACACACACACAAGACAAAAACATGAGCTCACAAAAAGAAACGACTAATAATACTTTTTGAAAAAAGTTTATCCCCCCCAAAAAAAATCCCATAAATGCGTTAAAAAAATTGGGAGTATGTGATCATCTGGAGTGACTCACCAATAATTACTTTTTTGTATTGCTTCTAGGGAATGAGAATACGAAAAAGAATCTTTCAAAAGTAAACAACACGAGTCGCAACAACAGGGATAGAGGGAAGTTTTGTTTGTTTGAGCAAAGAGAAGCACATTGACACAATAATGGTCATATTTTAATGCTGGGGGGAAAAGTACGATAGACAGAAACAACAGAGGGAAGGTAAAGATATTGGTCCTGCCAGTGGCGCCCTCCAACAACCCATAGGAGAGGGGGGGGGGGGGGGGGGGGATGATACAATTTAAATCTGCTAACATAGCACTACAAAACAACAAAACCAACACAACATAAGAAAGAGGGATGGGGTGAAGGCCACAATGGGGAAGAACCTGCAGAAGCAGTGGAGAGAGGGAGGGAGGGAAGGAAAGAGGAAGAGTGAGAGGGAGAGGAAGAAGGACGGGGGGAGAGAGAGAGAGAAGAGAGAGAGAGAGAGAGAGAGATGGATAGACAGTGAGAGACTGATAAACAGAAACAGTCAGAGAAAGAGACAGAAAGAAAGTGAGAGAGAAAGATAGAGACAGACTGACAGAGACCGAGAAACCGGGTGAGAGGGGGAGGGAGACAGAGAGAGAGAGAGAGACAGAGAGAGAGAGAGAGAGAGAGAGAGAGAGAGAGAGAGAGAGAGAGAGAAAGAGAGAGAGAGAGAGAGAGAGAGAGTGAGAGAGAGAGAGAGAGAGATACATGGAGAGAGAAACCGCAAGGATATCTTCAAATAAGCATATGGCCACTGCAGGCACAACAGGTAAAATAAAGACATTCCACAACACTAATACAGTACAACAAAAAGAAAACATTGCAACTGCCATCTGATACCTTAGACTGGAGGCTAGAAGACTGCATTATGCTAAATCTCTGATTTTAAACATACTTTTGTTTAAAAATATATTTTAACATAACCTAAACCATCCTGCCCCCTCAAAAAAGAAAAGAAGAATGTGTAACACTTTTAAAAGAAGAAATATGTCATTTTAAATGTGAAACAATTCACCCCATTCAAAACAACGGGCTGAAGTGAAAGATGAAATATTAAACAGAAAGGAAGAAAATAACTCCTACCCCACTGTGGTTCAAATCCACATTCACTGGATGTTCCCTGAATCCATTAACAAAACAACTTCACCACAGTACAAAGTCTACACAGAATAATTCTAACACAAGCTCTCATCACAACACAGATCAACTTCTAGTAGGTCATAGGGTGGAGAACTTAAACCAATAGTTTGGTTTTTTTTCTCTTATTTTCTAGTTCTCTGTCAGTGTCATCATTCCTTTGACCTTATTAAAGCCGTACATAACCAATATTGGGTCTTTGTGCGGCTTACTAACCAGTACGACCGCCTAAAAAGGAAACCATTTGTGCATCTTCTCCACTGCTATATTATGCTCATTCCATATTCACAATGACTGAAAACAGCAGTGGCCTCTGAAGGTCAATGGAATATTATGCCAGATGCTACAAGTTCTACTTAAGACTGATAAAAGACCACACCCACTGTACATACATAAATTTCATATAACAATCTGTCATTATATCACCAGCAAAATTCGATTCCCCAGTCTTTCGAGTCATGGAAACCTGGTTAATACTTAGCACACCACTCTAAACATTCTGCAGAGGTAGCAGCGTTTGAGGGAAAAAAAGTTTCGGTTCTGTACCAACTCTGCCCATATCACCATATTGACCAAAAGTTCTTTTCAGTCAATAAAACACTGCTTGTGTGACTCCCTGCAGCCAACAGTTGCACTAAGAAAAGTAAAGAGTTATTCTTTGAAGAGAAAATGCTTAAAGCGTTGAAATTCTTTAAAAAATGTAACATACTGGAGCATGCCTTTTTCACAGAGAGATATTTGTGCCATATAGTAGTATACAACAGTAATGCATGCCTGCTGAGCCATATCTGAGTAAAGCTCTGTGTGCTGCACGCTAATAGGGAGTTGTGATGAGAGATTTGTTATTAAACAAGACATATCCACAAGTCCCCATGAAAAATATTCCTACGGCGCAGCAGGCAGTTCTGCCAGCACTATGTAAATACATACTGACACAATGCACACTTTTCTAGTGAGGCCCCCATGCTCATTGGCCTCGACACAGTGTTAACCACAACAGCAGACAAACTGACAGGAGATGGTAATGTGAACTACTGCAACAGCCAGTGGCATTCAAGCGAGTTAGGTTTACCACCGTCGGAAAACTGTACATGTACACAAAAAAGAACCAAAGCTGGCATACTCCTGGGTTAGTACAATATTGAGACATGCTTTGACATACAAGACATTAATTTCATGCTTGATGACAACATTCAAAACAGAAGAAAACACACAGATTTCCTAGATGAAGACATTAATTAGACAAAACCTGGCATCTGCATAGCCTCTTACAAGCTCCTCTTTAAAAAAATAAACATAAAAATAATTGCGTGCCAAAAGCAGTCACTCCTTAAAAACTTTTTACATTTCAATGGCCTCAAGGTGATAGTCCTCCTATGCAAATTGTTATCTTTCATTTACAGATCAAACTTATTCAACCCGCATTAAACAACAAGTCCATGTCAGAATGAATACCTTCTCATGGAACTATGAGCCTTAACATGACATGATCAAACCAAAATAGTCTAAAAAGTTTGAAATGTGGAGAAAAAGTGTGCAGTGAACACATCCGTGCTCTTGTACACAATGTTTCATGGAAAAACGTGCGAAAAAAATGCAATGGGGGGAAGGACACCTTGAATTACACCAAAGTGCAGGTGTTCTCAAACAGAAGGGACTCAAAACACGCCAAGGAAAAAGAGGGGTTCCATTTTTCATCATCTAGCTTTGAAAAAGCTTTCCAACAGGTAAATAAGTATGTGCCTTTAAGAGATACATACAAAAAAGGTCCTTTGTAAGTTGTAAATGTCTTAAGATTTCCTTAACACAATTTAAACTATTTAGACTGTTTTGACCCTGAATGTCAGGGCACAGCTAATCTGAGAGGGATACAATGCCCCAGAAAGTAGGCAGAAATCCTCAATACCCCCCACCCTTTTTTTCCCCTCTCATGGGAATCAAACTTACTTATTCTGCATGAGACACCTATCCACTACACCACAGAGGCCGGTCAAAATAGGTCAGATCTATCTATCAAGAAACTGAGTTCCCAATTCCCCACCCATAGCAAATAACAATTTCAACTAGAATACTGGTATGCCATGAAAAATGAAGTAAAAAACCCCCAAAGGTAATAAAAAGGAAGACGAAAAAAAAAAAAGATTGTGTAAATTCTGAAGACAATAAGAAATATTAGAATATTGAAATACTGTTGATATCTTCCCAAAACAGCCACACAAAGCACAAGTAAGTAGTAGTAATAATAATAATAATAATAATAATAATAATGATAATAATAATAGTCCTTCAAAAAGTACACAATCAGCATCTTAAGAGAGGAAAAAAACAACAACTGTAAACATAAGTCCGTAAATATAACCTCAGCATGTTGCAGAAAAGCACACGGGATGGGGGTCGGGGTTGGGGGGGGGGGGGGGGAATGAAAGACCAACTGCTGCTGCACTCAAAGGTGTGCGGTAGTAGATTGAGAATCTCTACGGACAGGAGCAGGGAAAAAAAACAAAACGCACACATCAAAGCAGCAGCTGTAGTAAATATACACTGTTACACTAATGGAAGCAAAGAGGTTCAGGAAAGTCACAGAAATCTCCAAGTACTTACTTTGTGATTTTTTTTTCTACATATCTTCACTTTTCTAAGAGTGAATGAGAGACAAATAATAAAACAGAATTATTACACAAAAAATTTCAACTTAAAACATGGAACTGCATTATTCATGAAACAATTAAGTTTAATCTAAAGGTCATACACATTACATACATATTCAGATAAAGAAACATTCTACACTATCACTCTCAGTGTGAATACTGATTTTAATAGATTTGTGATTCAGAAATGATTAAACTGATAGCAATAGTGCTTTGCTTCACAGGCTTTCGTACATTGAACAAAGTCTAAACTTTAGGTGGAGAGTTCTGAGGCACATCTAAGCAACATGTGTGAGGTGTAATGATTTTAGATTAGATACCACCTTCCACGGGGGGTGGGGATTAATTTATCCTATAAATACAAGGAATTAATTAAAAAAAGCATTCCAACCTTTCCGGTAAGTCAAATTTTGTAGGTCAACAAAAAAGAAACAATAATAAAATCATGCATAAAAATGTGTAGATTTTTATACACTTGTAACAACATCATTTAGACAGTGTATTTCATGACCAAGACAGGTGTGACATTAATACAAATATAAATGAATTATTGTACGAAGCAATAAATAAATGTCTGAAAGAACTCAAAATTGATAATAATTGAAACGAAATCTTCATGCATTACAGTATCAGAATATGTTGAACAAAAGTAGCTTAGCTTTCACCAGACGGCAGCACTCTGGCCTCATAACTGACTTTATCCTTCTGTTAACAAGCTTCCTATTATCTTTCGACATAAGTTAGGACTCTTTAACTTTCGAAGAAGAAGAGCTATTGCTCTCACAAAGACAACAGACTTTCTCATAGCATGAAGACGTACAAATAGATGTAAAGACTAGGAAATGAGACTGCATTTTCACATCACCCTGGGTTTGAAGGACTAGCTATGAAAACAAATTGAGCGACATCAATCCAACAAAAGGCAAGTGTGTTACTGGTCATTGTACACATCAAAACTTACCCAATGCAAAGACCAGCTATAAGAATCGAATTTTCAGTTTTCACAGAGAGAAAGAAAACAACTCCCGCGGAAAGTTTCAGCAAAAACTTTCTTGAGAGGGCAGGAGGAATATCAAATGACAAAACCTAGAAAGGAAATTTAGCCATATGATGCAAGGAATACAAAGAATTAACCCTCATAATATTGTGGAGCAAAAAGAAACTCAATCACCAAAACAGTGAGAAAACCTGAGAAACGAAGAAGCAGAATGGAAATCTAGACACAGAAAAACTGCAGTCTCCACTGACCTCATACCATGAGCCAATAGACAACAGACAAAAAAAACCCACTACATGCTCACACTGGATAGGGCATGGTATTGCATCCACTTATCTAAATTCTGTTGTGATTCTTGTATCACTTCCGTTCATTAATATTATTATCTAGACCGTCAGTTTAAAAGGATTTATGACATAAGTCCAAAATGGGAAGAATGAAGAACAATACAACAGGGAAGCTTATTACTGGAAAAAAAATCTACAAAGCTTGAAATAGAACAAGAAGAAAGGAAAATAAAGAGAAGGCTCCTTTCCTTCAGCGCAAATTTATATGTTTGAAAGTATACGTGGATAAGCTCAATAACTGACAAGAATTTCTACAGGAATGGGAATAAATTTTCCAGCACCAGAAAATTCCCTTTTCTACTTTATTACATTTCAACCAATGACTCAGAAGAACTCTATAGATAAAAAACCCTCCAAAAAAATGACTACAATACTTTGTAATTAGCTTTTCCAAATCAAACTCTCACAACCACTTGGAAGAACAGAAAGTCCTCAGCGGATGAACATATCACATCTCTGTGCATGCACCACGTCTACCTCACTTCACACAAAGTAAAACTTGCAACAAAATATTACACCAAACAGCCATCACAAAACGTTACCTGAAGTGATTATGAAGAAAATCCTCAGCTTTGAAAAGTAGAGAACACGAAGCCAGTAAAAATGTAAGTCGAGCAGGTAAAAATGAAGTCAAAACATCCCAATCAGAAACTGTACATCAAAATTATCAAGAACTGTCAGCAGAAGCATCACAATTTTCAAGAGACTTGCACTTGTAAAACTTTTCAACTTACAAAAGCCAAATCAACTCAGGTTGAGGAGGAGAGAAACAGAAACCAAAGTTTCTTATATCACAATTTGGTATCCTCCGACTCCTTTGCAATAGGAGGAGGAGGGGGAGGTGGGGTGGGCCTTGGTCTCATACTGCTATGCCTGCCCAGTGTGTGGGAAACCCCGGGGGCAACTAAAGGCCGAGTGCTACCATCTGAGCTCTCCGAGTTAAATCCTGCACCCTGGCTTATTACACTGGGTGTGGAGTTGTTTGCACCACCGCTCTCAGCAATACTATAGGAAGACAAACTACCTGCATTGGGCACACCGCAGCTGCTGTTGCTGTTGTTGTTGTTGTTACCGGGCAACACCGCCACCTGCGGGTTGACCATCGCCCCAGTGGACGCCGACCTCTGGTGACCTCTTCCCGCCGGAGGGTTCAAGGCTGGTGGGAGTTTTGGCCGTTCCGGCGGTGCTTGACCCGGTCTCTCAGGTGGAGGGACTGAAGGTCGGTTACTGGCCGAGGAGGAGGAGAGGGAGGAAGAAACGGAGGACGGCGCCTGCCCGTACCAGGACTTTAGTCTGTCTCTGTCTTGTACAAACGGGACCGAGGAGGACTGGGACTGGTACTCTGAGGGGGATTCAGGGGAGGCCAGAGGCGCGGTTCGCACCGCCTGCTGCTGCTGCTGCTGTTGTTGCTGCTGCGACAGGCCGTTCCCAGCGCCACCACCACCACTACCGTTGTTGCTGTAGTTGATGTTGATGGCCGGTGTGACACTGACACCTCCAGCACCACTGTCGCTGCCTGTGGCGGGCCTCCCAGCGGTACCCGCGGTGGCTGCCGTTACCATGACGGTGAAGGGGCGTTCAGGGGGAGGGGGCGGTGCTGGCTTTCGTGTGATGCGTCTCAGCAGGGGGCTCGATGTCTCCGGGCTGCACAAAGCCACAACAACACCAAAACAAACTTAAGATTGCAATGAATATTTGGGGGGATATTTTTGTCATCTTTATTTTTCGCTTTAGTATGGGTAAAATGTCCTAGTAGATGCAAATATATACCGGCAGCCCAGTATCAATTTAGCTAGTTTTGAAGGTCACTTTAAATAGCATTCTCGATGGTAAATTTGGGAAGTCATCTCAAGTCTTATCACTGATGGATAGAAAAACAAACTGGTTGGCTAATCCTACCTTTTTAATGAGGTTATTTTGTAAAATGGAAGTTGAATCCCCACCACATCATTAAAAAAAATTTAAGTTGAACTCGCACCACACCATACCTAGATGCCAATTAGTAATTTCAAAGATGAAGTACCTGGGCCACTAGTAAGACAGAAAAAACCCAAAACAAAAGAGAGTAAAATAAAGTATACACGTCAACTGCTAAGTGTAAGACTCTGCCCTACGCCATTTTAAAAAGTGACTTGTGACGGGAGTTTTACACTGAACAGTCGACGTGCATATGAGCATAAATGTCTACGGGTGCTGTTCTACACTGCGAGCAAGTGCATCTCCTACTGGTGCAAGAATAGTGGGTATGTATCAATTATCGCCAACCCACTGGGGGGAGGGAAAGTACTGACTGCTTGTCTATGAAAGGACACAGTCAAGTTTTCTCTCATTTGTTCACAATTACAGAAGGAACACTGAGAAATAATGATAATGATTTAGTGCTTGAACACCCCTCCCCCCCTAAAAAAAAAAAAATTTAAAAAACCCCCAACAAAACAAACAACGAACAACCAAACAAAACAACAAGAAAATCGCTTAATAAGTTAAAGAATGTATGATGAAAAATGTAGGAGCTACCGTGACATCCTCCAACCACAAATGGCTCAACATCATGAAAAGAAATAAGTAAGACAATGCCAAATCTTGAGTTGACACAGACGAAAAGCAAAGTGCAACAACTGTGGCAATATCAACACAGTAACATCCACTAGCAGTTTTGTGCCTTTAAAGATTACATCATTGAGGGACGGACACACCACTGCAAAAACATCCTCAGCTTCAACTTAGCTGAAACAGTGTGCAATGTATCTAAATCAAAAGCAGAACTCTGCAAAATGCATGATGAAACTTACCTTTTTTTCATTTTGGAATGAGAAAAAATACACCAAAAATCTTGAATTCCAGATGGGGTCCTGAAAATGCCTACCCCTGTGCACCTTTGCATACCCTTCACACTGGCAGGAACAAAGAAAACCCCCCAGAAAACACAAGTACGCACCTGTCAGAAGGCACAGGTAAACTACCAGTGGAAGAGGTGTTGGTTGGGGACATCCCAGGACTTGGCTGGTAACTCGCAGCAGAGTTGGCAGGTGCAATCTACAAGATGTTTAGTTAAGTTTTAGTACGAGTTTTACGGCACACCTCTAATCTTTGGCACTTATACGAGCCATTTGTGTTGAATATGCTGTAAAACTCTTTTCATGCAACACAAATACGTCATATCAGTGCCAAAGATTAGAGGTATTACTAGAGTAGGGTGTAACATACAAAGAAAAGAAGGAGAGATAAGGACCATAGATGGTTACTTTTTGGCTTTTTTGGCTTTAGTAAGAGTTTTACAGCACTTGCAACACAATGAGATCATATTGTTGCCAAAGATTACAGGTGTTACAAGAGAGTAACAAACACAAAAAAGAAGGAGAGAAGGACGATAGATGCTCGATAGAAAAGAAAAAAAGATGGTTGACAGGAAACAAGGAGCAAACCACACCAGATCACCCGTCAATCACCCACAATCTACCAGACAGAAAAACACACAAAAATAAACTGAGACACAAAACAGTACTATTATCTTAATGCAATCTTTCCTTTAAGATCACTGTTTAGTTTAGTTTAGTTTTAGTAAGTGTTTTACGGCACTTGCAACACAATAAGATAATATAAGTGCCGAAGATTAGAGGTATTACAAGGGAGTAACAAACACAAAAAAGATAAAGACAATAGATGTTTGATAGGAAAGAAGAAAAAAACCCACACCACAGCACCCGCCAACCACCCATGATCACTTTTTCCTGTCCAAGTTGACATTATGAGGCATGAAGCAACAAAACATTCTGTACTTCAGCCTAGAGTATCTAAAATAAACTACTGTCTTTATCATATATGGGTAGTGGCGGCAACAGTTTAAATCAAAAAGGTAAAATACAGTCGTTCCTGCTCGAACTGCAATCTGTATATGGCAATCACATAAGACAATCACCTGTACAAACGGCCATTTCTCATTTCCTCAATTGCACATTAAAAAAAATTATAATGCTATTGTGTAAAGACGGCCATCTGTCTAAAGAGGCCACTGTTCTCCTACGCAATGGGTGGACTTCTTCCGACAATTTCGGCAGAATGTTTATAGAAAACTCCTTTTTCGAATTACAACCATTCACAAGACCCCTTTCCAGGCCCCCTGGACCATTTTTATGTAGGATGTCCTCAAGATTGGCATTATGTTAGTACTACTGCCCATTATCCCAGCTACCACCACTAGTTTAAGAGGCAAACAACAGTAAAATATTCACTAGACAGTACCAACGATAGGAAAAACAACATGTAAATATCAATACAAATATAGTAAGAATGTGAAAAAGGTTGGCTTCGTCATATTTCTAATCAACAAAAATGAGAGTATTAAAAGAAACCAGCCAACAAAAAAACTTTAACAAACACATACTCAAGTAGTCGAATCCTAGTTTATTGCTTGCAAAGGCAAGTTGGCACATAAACAGCCCCATTATACAAATAAAAAATAAAAAAACAAGATTAGGGCAACGGCAACATGGAAAAGAAGTAATTTTTAAAAAAGGAGATAACCACAGAGAACCTCCGCCAACCATCCCTCATATTCTCGAAAAATTGACAACAATTAATCCAGCCTGACCAAAGAATAGTTACCTATTCACAACCTAACCAAAGAATAGCTATTCAAACCTAACCAAAGAATAGCTATTCACAACCTAACCAAAGAATAGCTATTCACAGCCTAACCAAAGAAAAGCTAGCTATTCAGAGCCTAACTACCAATTCACAACCTAAGCGAAGAATAGCTATTCACAGCCTAACCAAAGAATAGCTACCAATTCACAACCTAATCGAAGAATGGCTATTCACAGCCTTGCCAAAGAATAGCTATTTACAGCCTCACCTGGACACTGAGGGCTTCCATACTGCCCTGGCCCTGGTCTGCCTGGTTGGGCACGGCCCCTTCCTGGTCATCCTCGTACAAGTACCCAACGTTGGTGAAGTCCAGCTCTGGGGAGAAGGAGGACATACGGACGATGCACAAACTGACGCACGCACAAGACATTCAAGAATGCTGCGTTTGGACATAAATCTGACTTTCAGGATCAAATCTCTAGTCTGATCACCTTGTGAGCTATTTCTCTTCTTTTTTTTTCTTGGGGGGGATTGAACTGTTCAAGATAACCTTACACAAACAAGAGTATTACCACATATTTATCATGATAAGTACAAATTTCTTTGGAAGAAATGTTGGCTACAAAAACAAGTCTAATCTTGGGGAAAAAGGCAACTTTCCAGACACTGTCAAAGATTACTTTGCCAACTTGTGAAAGAGTCTTTATATATATATAAGAAGAGTGAAATAAAAAAAGAGAAGGAAAGAAGAGCAGGTGGTCTACAGCGAGTGTAGAAAAAGGACATAAAAAAAAGCAGAGGGACAGACTGACGAGCAAACAAGCTGATACTCTGAATTATCACATCACTCAAAAAAGAAAACAAACAATTTACAGAACTTTGCTGAACAGAATTTTAAGTCTTTCAAAGCGCTAAAAACAGAATTATAACCAGCTGTAGTCTTTTGAAATAGTGACATAATGTTTTTCTCTTTGTGTCTTTCCAGTTGAAGATAAAGTTGTCAAGTTTTGAAAAGTGCACCTTGTAAATAAACAGACCTGACACCATCACGAAAAGAAATCAGTTTCAGAGATTTACAATAAATAAAGATGACAACTCCACATGATCACTGCCTCAAAGCCAAAGAAAAGAAGTAAGATCTATCAGTTGCACCGTCTGACTCAAACCACCCAGCTACGACAAAGGTGAAGTACTCCCAGTGAAAGCTTTAAAAAATGTCAAAGTGTGATCCAATAATATTCGATTAAATTTTAAACAACTATATAGCACATAAGTTATTCCCTTCATCATACACATGTCCGCAGCAGAGGTTCGTTCGCAATCTCCCCCCCTTCCCCCCCCAAAAAAAAACCAACAACAAAAACCCCAAAATATTTCCTGACAGGGATTTGTCTATTAAATTCTTTACATAACCCCTCACCATTTCCCGTCATTACCCAAGATACAGAACAAGAATTGTTGTGGGAAAAGAAAAGGACCTTTTTTTTTACATACCCAAAGTCAATTCTAACAGACAAGGGATATAAAATATAACTTTCACTGATTTCACCAACAAAAGACAAAAGATATGTTTATCTTCTCTGACATGGAATATAATTGCCACAGAATCCACCAACAAAATAACTTCCAAAGATTTGACCTATGAGAGAGATTGGATCAAGTCCTGAAACTGTGAAAGTAAAAGGGCAGGCCATTCGCTCTACAAACAAAACAACGTCCATGTAAGTGATGAAAACATACAGAGACAAATGTGGAAGCTTACAATGCATCGGGGATTTCTCAGGAAAAATCATGCTGTAGTTGAAATTCAGAAAACTCAAAATGCACCACCCAGCGTCTATTTTGAGACAATAATCCAAAAGTTTTGGAAACAACGGTTTGATTTCTGTGTACATCTATCCAATTTTGATGATTCACACTCTTTAAAGCACAAATGTTCATTATCCAAAGTCAACAGACCATATCTTTGATATTGTTTTTCCCCGTGTATCAATGCAAAATACTCACGACATTACTGAAACAAAAATGTTTAGTTTTTTCACTTTCTTTTAAAAAAAATGAAGTTAAGCATTTTACGTCCCCATCAAAGCAATTTAGATCATATAGAAGTTTTGACCTTCCCTGGGCACTCTATCCACTGTAATTCTAAGTATGTGAGTAAAACATTTTTTAAATAAATGAATGAAAACAATACATCTACTTCCAAATATGGAAAGAATGAAATATTATTATAGAAGTTCAAAACAAAAGCATTTTTCCATACTATCTCTCTTGAGCTTTGGAATAACTTTTCCTCCAAATTAACTCTGTTCAAAATCATAATAAAACCGGTCATAGATATATCAACTTCCGTCAAGCTTGATACAAAAAGGAATATTAATATATTGTTGCAATAAAAGAATACATTTTTGCAAAGTGAAAACTATGGAAGAAGTGAAACTATTATAGAATAATAATCAAGTCTTTTTTCTTTCTTTCATATGGGGAACTATTTCAGAACACTAATGCATGATATAATCACAATATATGTCAGCTTATATGCTGGTGAACTACTTCAATATTCTATAGAGACATGGTACAAATTATTGTAATCAAGTTTCATGCACGGCATGGCCATCACAGCAAGGCATTGAGCAAAGCTGAGGCAGAAGCCACGCATATACCCAAACTATCAGGTCTTAATAAAACATTACGGACTCAGACTGCATTACAAATATGTATAGTAAGGTGGAGCATAGTAACCGGCAAACAGAACTTACACTTTCTGTTCTTCATGTAGAGTATTTGTCAATCTAAACCAAATATTTTATGAGAAGTAACCTCAGGAGAATGAAAGTGCTATTCATCTCAAACCATATCTTCAAAAGAAGAAGAAAAAAAATAAAAGAATGTGGTTAAATTAGTTCATTATCACAACAAAAAACTATAAAATGTAGCTACAGAAACTCAGTAAATGATCCATCAAATAAAAGCAAGTCCTGTATTAAAAGCAAGAGAATGAACATAACTAAATGTAAATCGGAACAAGACTTTCAAAAGACTATATCTGTGTGAATATAAACAAGTTAAAAGGTCAGTTCCCAAAGCTATCTATATATAAAGCTGTCTAAAAAGTTTGGGTATCACTGACAATCTCGTCCATGGACATCCTTTGTCTGTTAAAAGTGTTAGTGGGTTTCATCAGTGTGGTCCAAGATGCTTTAGTTGGATAATAGATTATAACAAGTAAGGGGAACGGTAATCTATAAAGTTTATGGGTACGACATAAAAAGAACAAAAAAATGAAGGGAAAACTTCCTCTATGTCACAATCAGTTAAGAACAGCTCATCCCAAGATTAGACTGGAATTACAAACAGGTTGAAAAAAAAAAATCAAAATCTTTAATACTCCAAAATAAGGTAAAAAAAAGTGTTTAAGCAGAGCAATTTTTAGCCAGCAATCCATTCCAGGCCAAGAAACCATGACAGGCATCCACATCCAAAAGACGAGCTGATCTAACCTGATTTGTGATTATGTGCTGATGCTTGATGCACTTCCTTGGGCTTTTGTTGGCTACCGGGGATTTGGTTATAAAATTCAGTATCCAAAGGGAAGGGTCGAGGGCCTTTGAACTGCTGACTTGTGGAAGAGGAGGAGGACATAGGTTTTCTGCCCACTGCTGCCCCTTGTTTCCTTTTCGCATCAAACTGAGGCCTAGCTGGAGTTTCGTTTTTATTGTATGTCTCTGGAGCAATGTCCGACTGAGTGGGCGGAGCCTGGGAGTGGCGGTCATCCCACATGGCTCGGACACGGGTCATGTAGTCTGAAGACGTCTCCCCTGCTCCTAAAGAAGCTAAGGCAAAAGCAGTGCTGTAGGCATCTTGGTGGAAGCTCTTGTCCACTGGAGGATCGCTAACCTGCCCTGCACTAAAAGAGGCCATGTAGTCGCGTTTGGGAACCATATGGCTGGTAGACTGCTGAGATTTCGTCATGCCGGGCTGGGTCGTCATCATATCTCCATAACTGGATGATCGCGGGACTTGCGATGCCTCTGTAGATGAGGCACCAGTGCCAATAGAATCAGGCTGGAGTGGAGCAGCGCCCAGCTGGGACCTTGACACTTGAAGGGGCCTCTGATGGTGGCTAAAGCTAGCACTACTACTCTGGCTACCAAACTGGGGTGGGGGAGCTACAATGCAAGGTTCTGAACCTCTCTTCAGAGAATGATACTCTCCAGGCCTTTGGTTTGGCCGATTCCATGAAGCTGACCCAGTGTAACCTATATTGGGGTCCTCCTCGCCTTTGGCTAGAGATAATAAGCTAATATTTGGGGTAGACCCAGTGAAGTATCTAGCGTTAGGCTGCCGGGCACTGGGTTGATAGATGGCCGAGTTGCTAGACGACAGCGGGGACTGAGAACCGGACCTAGGGACACTTTCAGACATCAGGGGGGACACTCTCTTGTACTGGCGAGATGGCCGCGACGGAGGGATGGGGACGGGGCCAGCTTGTTTGTCACCGTTAACAAGATTATCCGCGCTCCCCCTCAAAGAAGACTTGTTCCCACTAAGCATACTAGACCTACCCAGTGTACTGCACCTATTGTTATAGTAAGGGTGGTTGGGGTTAAGAGTATAGACAATATTGTCATAGTCACCGGTGTTAGTACTATTGGGTGCTGCTAAGTGGCCATCGCCACGGCTTCTACCACCAAGCATCAAGCCAGACGTGGAAGAAAGCTTTTCACCTTTCTCCTTACTCTCTGTCTTAGGGCTGGACTCGGAGCGCGTCGCAGCCTTAGCGTCAAACTTCTCCGAAAAGGGATTGTACTCATCCAGACTGCTGTCATCATCATCATCATCGTCATTATTGCTTCCCTTGCCTTTGGTGCTCACTTTTTGATTCGCCCCTTTTTGGGTGTTCTCAAGCTCTGTGAGTTGGTCAATACTGCCATTGTCACTTGTTGACATCTTAATACTTTCAAAGCTCGCGTTCTCCTCTAAGTCATGGTCTGTTCTTCCAGCAGCGGAAACGTTTCGGGCTTTATCATTTGCACTACTACCCGCTGCTCCTTCGGCAGCATCTTTAAGCTTTTGCTGAGGGTTCTTGTTGGGAAAAGAGAAGCTAGAGGAAGCTGGTTCTTCTCTACAAGGCCTAGGGGAACTCCCGTGACCCGTCAAGTGAAAATCAAAAGCTGTAACACAAAGGGGGAGAAAGGAGCAATGGTGTCAAAACCAGATGAGGGGACAAATGAAAGGGGAATGGAAAATAATATACATGAACATATTATGATATTACTGTAGTATTATATTTGGAAAGGTTGAAAAAAAAAAAGGAAATATTATAATTATAAGGGTACATATATATA